AAGTCCCGTCGCACAATGATTCAACTTATAACCATATTGACTTATGGCTGAAATTCTGATCCCAATTGTGGTTGTAAATCAAGGACTACCTATATATAAACCTATAATTGTTGGAATGGCATTTTCTAATTGCAAATGGAAGGAACTATGCTTGTGAATGATACTACTGCAACTTTCTGCTCATAATTGCAGAATAGTGAGAAGTAGTATATAAGCAGTTGTATACCTCCTGAACCATAAGGTCTATAATTTTTTATTGTTTTCATGTCTCTATTGCACCTCAAAGAGCTTGCTGTTTTAAATGAAAATAAGCCTCCTTGAGCCAAGGTAAGCTATTAAGTAGCTACATGGAGATTTCCATATAATTTTCTTGGCAGTAAAACAGGAGTGGTTTGTAGTCATCATTCTCCAGGTTCTTGCTACTGTTTAACTTCCCAATCTAGTCTTTAGCTCTGCATTTTCTTTATATATGGTCTTTCATCCACATAGTAACTAGGTTTGACTCTGCTTAGGTTTCTGACATCCATCCAAGGTCAACTACTGCTGCACCTAGCATAGCAATACACTAGGAAAGCTGTAATTTATCCAGAATCACACGAACACTAGCAGTAGATCCTCATATAGTCATTTAGTATTATTTTTTTAAGTATTGTGGAATGAAACTTAAGAGATGTCCATGTTGGTTAAAATCATGTATATTCTCAGCCATGGTTTGTTTTAACTGTGGCTTCTTGAATGCCAAACTGCATTATGGCTTACCTAATCCATAATCAACTCAAAAGGGTATCTCATGTCCTGTTGTGAGATGAATCTAGTTGTACTTCCTCTTCTTACTAGTGACATTTTTCAGAATCTGTTCCTGACTGTGGGTTTTCTTCACTATCTTCTTTTTTTCTTTTTTTTGTTACCTCAGGCCTATGAACTTTCCACCCTTACGGGTACTCAAGTGTTGCTACTTGTGGCCAGTGAGACAGGCCACGTCTACACTTTTGCCACACGGAAACTGCAGCCAATGATCACCAGCGAGACGGGGAAGGCACTGATCCAGACATGCTTGAATTCTCCTGACTCCCCTCCTCGGTCGGACCCAACCAGCGATCAGCGCATGAGTGCTACGGGCTTTGAGGAAACGGACCTTACATATCAGGTGTCTGAGTCTGACAGCAGTGGAGAAACAAAGGTATCCTGAATTTCTACCTTATCTTGTCAGTCTTTGGAGAGAGAAAGAACTGCTAGCATTATTGCCATCTGCATGTGTTTTTAATGCAGTAAACCTATATATTACCAGTTTAACTGCAAAGGCCAGACTGTTTCCTTCACTGCATTTTGCAGCAAGAGTACTGACGTCTAGCAGTGTAAGAGTTAATTCCCATAACTTAACTTTAGAAGGGAAAAAAATGGGATGCTCTGGGTCATGCAATAATTAGGAGCTATTAGGACTTGGATTCTGCTGTTGGGCTTTGATTTGGGGAGCAGCAGCACCCCCTGATCCCCAGCAATTCTCTCTGTGCACATGTTATCCAGCTTCAGTAAAATTTGGCAGGGAGAAAGGCTGAAGCTGACTGAGAGTGCTTTGATTGCTCAGACTTATCTAGTGTTACTTCTCCTGGGAGGAGGCTCTTCTCCCTTCCCCCACCACCTTCCCTGGGACCAGAGTAGATGCGCTGGATATCTGCCGAAGTGAGATGGGAACAGCCTGTGTCTTGCCTTCCTCTAATGGCAGCAGGCGCTGGGTGGCTGGGCTGGGCAGAATGTGACAGGTGCTCTTTGCTTTCCTGCTAGGACCTCCTGGAGCAGCTCTGATTTTTGGTTATCTCTGCCTGGGCGTCTCTGTGCTCCTGCTCATTGATAAAAATTGGATTCTGCCTCCATGGCCATATAAGGCCTGGTTTCCTTCCCTGGAGTCCCTGGCTGGGCCCCTCACATTCCTTATAAGCTGCAGCTGTCTCTTGCTTGGTGCTGTTTTGGAAGAAGGGGGCAGGGAGGACAGAGGGAATTGAAACACTTGGCTGAACAGACTATTCCTTCTTTCTCTTGGAGTATCCAGCCAAATACTCAGCTAGCTTAACTCTTTACTTTCTTCACAGCAGCTGGAGCATTAGTAGAGAAGTGGGGGACCCAGGGGACATTGTGTACGTGGTAGTGTGTGTGAGGGAGGGAGAGAGAGTCTCTCTCCCTCTGTTATGGACGGACAGAACCGTCCCCTCTCGTCAACAAAACAATAGAGGGTTCTACCTGTTTTCAATATTCACAAAAAGAAGTTATGGTCGGAATTTTGTAGTCCACAGAAGTATGACCAATTTAATCGAGACATTTAGAAACAGTGTTTCAACAAACGATTGAGTTTCTACTAGATGGGGTCACCAGTCAAACTCGCAAAGTCACATGACATGTCACGACGTATCGCAACTTTTTTTTCCATTGCTGGCAATGGGGTGGGTGCGGTTTCGGCATGACGCATCTGGCCCGAGGCCGGCAGTTTGACATCCCTGATCTAGCCCAAGCCTACTAATGTTATCTCACTTTGCGGGCTAAAGAGGCAGCCTTTTGCCTGATCCCACATGATGAATTCTATGTTCTTTGCTATTGCTTCCGAGTTTGAGCCTCTTTCCCAATCTTTATTGCTGTTGCCAGCACAGCTCTCTATGTACAGGTCACTCTCATGGCCGACTACCTGACTGTTAGCAGAGGAACTTAGCAGACTGGAACCCAGGAACTTCAGAATGCTTTGCCCCAAGCCACCATCCTTCTCTTTAAACCTTAAAATCTTTTCTTATTCTTGGTAAGCATGTAGGCAGGAGATAGGAAATGAAACTTTTGTAATAGCTTTTTCAGATCCCACACAGCTGTCTGCCTTAGCTTGAGACAGTCGGCAGTTGTATTAAGCAAATTATTCCTCTAAAAACCAGCCCTATATTGCCTCTTGTGACTGTTCAGGGGAGACCCCTATGTTGAGTAAACATAAACTTCATTTTTGGGCTTCTCCAACTGGACATCATATAATGTCTTACACACTTTTTTAAGTATGGAGAATACAGGTATGAATAATTACTGCAGATTATTTTTTTAGGGGTGATTTTGCTATTGGTGCATTATTTGCAGGGGGGTTAGCAGCAACGTAATTCTTCTGTTTGTCCTTGAAGCACAGCATTAAAGTCTCCTTCCCCAATGTCCCAATTCTCTCTATGTTTATTCAAAGCCCAAACCAGCATTTTAGAAAATGGATACCTACCTACCTGCCTACCTACCTACCTACTTTGATGTGTTGCCAAATTTGCATATTTAAGATTTTTTTCTTTCCCATCTCCATATTGTAATACCACAGCTTGAACTCTTTCAGCCTCTGTGTCAGATCAACACAGTTTTGGAGCAGACATGATAGGTCCAAAAATCTATTTTCCTCCTGGTCTATGACACTTTTTAAACAGAATTCTTAGGTTCTTATCAGTTAGAACCTATAACCTTAGACTTACATTTAATATGTTTTTTAATTGATACTCTACTATGAACATGAGAGATGATTTGTGGTCAAATTTTGGTTCTACTAAAAGATGGTTATAGATTTTATAGACCAACAGGAAGGCTCAGTATTGGGGGAGGCTTCTGAGAAGAAACAACTTGCAGGTATTATTCATAGGTTCCATCCCTTTTCACCATCATCAGCCATGATTTGGGGACGAAGGTGGGGGTAAAGAGTCAATTTGTAGAAGCATCAAACAGGCCATGCCTTCTGAGGAAGGAGCAATCTGGGATTAGCAAAGAAAATTTGTAAAAAGATGATGTGTGTTACTTGCAATATGTCTGGATGGTGCATAACTCCCCTTGGAGATAGTGGGCTATTAGAAACATAGATGTAATAGCTTAAACCGGAATGAGGAATATCCATGTTCCTTCTAAGAATAGGTGATAGGATTTTATCTTAGCTTACGTCATTATGAGCCTGGCCCCTCTCTCCAGAATCAACTAATTGGGCAAGAGTGTACCACTTCCCTTGGAAACATTTTTCAGCTAAGTATATTCTGGCACACAAAACAGCATAGGAACCAAAGTTTGCAATTTGACAACAGGCAGTGCCTGCTACAGTATAGAAACTAAAGAGAGAAAATAGAAAATGAAAGGGAAACTTAAAAACTAACTTGCAGGTTGATTGGATTGGGGGATAAGAATATGATAGCATATCCTTTCTGTCATTGTCAATATACCTGTTTTAGATTAGCGTGGATAATAGGGCTTTTTTCATATTGTTAAGATACAAATTTATTGTCCCTCATTGCTGGTCATGCTAATGATGATGGGAGTGGTTATTCAACAGCATTGATTTATCAGTCTTTAAAACCCAGAAAGTTAAAAGATAAGCAAGGAAATCTAGGAATAATAATAATAATAATAATAATAATAATAATAATAATAATAATAATTATTATTATTATTATTATTATTATTATTATTATTATTATTATTATTAAAAAAAAGTTGGAGGTCTTCTAGTCCAACCCCCTGCTCAGGCAGGACACCCTATACCATTTCAGACAAATGGTTGTCCAGTGTCTTCTTAAAAACTTCCACCTTAGTTCTTTATATTCATATATAATGTGCCTATTCTCAGATGTGTTGAACTACATTTGAATGTTTTTGAATTTTAGGTAATTATGAATAGAAAAAGTGGTAAATATTACTGGACTGAGAAGGGAATGTTACGGCTTAATAGAATTTGGGTGCAATTGATCGTAGGGAGAAAAAGAGCTCACTGGTTATTGAAATTCTGAAGGTGGGTTTCTCCTTTGCTTGAGAGCTAGCATTGCCCTCTTTAAAAACATTTCTCCATAATAGAGAGAAATTAGAAATATAGTATACTTTTATAAAGGGTAAGTTCTCCATATACCTGTGTAACAGAACTGATATTTTTATAGTAAGGAGAATAGAATTTATTGCATAGCAAAATGAGACTCCTTAATAATCTTGGCCAACTTGGACTGTTTACCTTAGAATTGCCTGAGGCGTGATAGTGCCAGAAGTAAAAATACTGGAATTGTCTCCTGCTAGATTTGTTGGAGGGCATAACAAAGTGTATTTCTTATAGAAAACATAGATAAACCCTCCACATTTAGAAACCTCATCTCCTGTTTCTAACTCTGTATCGGCAAAAGTTGAGATGACTGTTTTCCTTCCCAAGACCTAATTCACTTGTGTGAGATGCTACCAGCGTTAGCTTTTCTGTTGAGAGAAAACGATATTTCTATATTTGTTCCCTCCTTCATCTCCATACTATCATGCTGATGCATCCCATTCTTATTAGCTGTACCAATGTAGGAGCTGTTTGCAACAGTATAATTGTTTTGAGAGTGTGGAAACTTTGTATGCTGATCATTGAGTTGTTTTGAAGTGAGGGGGGAATTATACATATGGACATGCTAGGAGAGTATCATTGGCTACTGGTTTTATATAGAGAGAAGATCCTTATGCTGGTGGTAGATAGGACTGTTCACTTTTGTGGTGTTTAGCAAAATCAAAATACCTGAAACAAGCTTATCTAAAATAAAATTATATTAATCAACTAATCCTTCTCCTTCACTCCTAACAGTGAAGTGGGGAAATTGCTAGTCACTACCCACAAACCAAAATTAGTTCTCAGAGTAAGTTTATGATCAGTGATAGACCTAAAATTTTAAGCATATCACAAAGATCATATAATCTAGTCCCTTGCATGGCGACATATCTAGTGTTACAACAGTCCTAATATAGGTATTCAGACTTTGCTTTAAAACCTTTAATGATTATGACAGACTTCCTGACAGTGAGAACAACTAACCAATAGAATAGCTTGCCTCCAGAAATCTTGGGCTCTCCATCACTGGAGATTTTTAAGAAGAGGCTAGACCAGGAGTGTCAAACTCAATTTCACTGAGGGCCGCATCAGCATTGCGGTTGCCCTTGGGGGGCTGGGTGGGTGTGGCCAGAGTGGGTGCAGCTTACTGGGTGGGCATGGATGGAGTGGGTGTGGCCTACTGGGTGGGCATGGCCAGTTCTACATCATTCGCGTCAAGGATGCCTGTGGGGGGCCTGGGCAGGAGTGGGACAGATCTGAGGGTCTCTGGCAGAAGAGGGTGGGACCGGGGCAAGTGCCAAGGTATGGTCCACTGGGGCAAGTGCCAAGATGGCCAGCACAAAATTGTACATTGG